ATTTTGCGTACGCGGCATCAGCATCAAGGTGTAGTTGCCATCGCAGTGCATGCCGCGCCATTTCTTTTCAACATGTTCAGTTGGGTACGCGAGTGCTCGAGCATGGATCGCGTCCCCTGGTGAGGTGACTTTGCCGTCCAAGTGATGCCGCAGAGCATGAACGTGCCGCCGAAAGCAAGCAGTCACAGTAGCTTCGGCTTGCGACTGAACTTGCGCGATCAAGTCGCTTCTGCATCTGTACTGGCGATGGTCGACACCAAACAAGTCGCCAACCTCTTCGAACGAGATTGGGCCGGTCGTGGAGATGGGGGCGTAATACAGCGTCGATCCCCGGATCGTCGTGATGTTGGGCCCGACGCTCTCGGCGACCGTCCTACGCACAGAGTGACTGCAGTGGTTCCCAAGTTGTCGGCCGCACCATCCAAACCCGTGGGATCGCACTTCTCCATCTTGAAGTGGATACATTTCGTCGTCGGTCACTTTGGCGCTCGTGAGCACTGCCCTTGTGCTGTCGGGGGTGTGGAACAAGGCGGTCACTTGCCGCAGGGTGACTCCGTTGTGCGGATTCGCCGCATACGTATATCGTAGCGAGTTGGCTTCTTCGACCATCTACCATCGCCAGCGACAGTTTACTTCATCGACCGACGGAGCGATGGGGGCCGTGGATGGCATTACCTGGCACGCCACCACATCGGGGACAACGAACGCTCGCTGGGAATTCAACAACACCAAGGCCGACACGACGTCGGAAAACGGTACAAACACAATGTAAAACTGAAAATGGAATTCCATCGCGCCGCTTGCGATGGGGTCGTCGGTGTGGTCAGGAGAGTGCACCGATACGTGGATGGCATCCCCCCCTCGGACGTCCATCGGGTGCTGCGGTACGACCGAGTTGGCTGTGTGCAACAGCCTCTCACTGAGCCATTGCAGTCCAGCCCACCGGACGTCTGGATTGGCGCTCAGCGTGGCATATATCCATGGCATTTGCGGCGTCAGGCTCTACGAACACCGTCACGATTGCCAAAACAAGTCGTCGCATCGGCTGCACAACGTACAGGCGCGGGATGCTGGGACGCCACCCAATCTCGCAAGCAGAACGCGAGCTTGTAGTTGGCTTCGACTTCATGGCGAAGATGGCGCGTGTGGCGGGCCACTTGTTCAGCGATGCTGTGGTGGACTTCGCGTTGAATCATTCTGCTTGTAGCGGGGGGTGGGTCCCCACCCGAGTGAGCGCGCTGGCGCAGCAGGTGATGCAGGGTCTGTTGTAGGGACCGGCACTCGTCCTCGATGCGCCGGAACTCTTCCTTCTTGAGCGACCGATATTTACGCATGCGCAGCGACGCCATTTGACGGCGTGTGTCGTCGCCGCCGAGGCTGTCGCTGTCCTGGTGGTGGTCGTCGTTTGCCATGGGATCTCTCGTGTGTGCGACAACGGAAGGAACGTGGGGGGGGCGAAATGACGTTGTGAGGATCGGTTCGTCGTGGCGGTCGGATGAAATGCAACCGTCGAGTCGTGGGAACGTCCGGCAGCGCATGCACTGAGCTTGACGGCGCCACAATTCAGGTCACTTGAACGGACGTGGTGGCAGGCGGAGGGTCAGCTTGGAATTTTCCCACCACATGATTCTACCCTACTAGCATGCCGTCATCAAAACGCGACGTCAAACTCACGAGTGGGCACGACGGCACCCTAGCCCGTCGCAGAGGTGCCTTTGTTCCCCCCCTTTGCTCTCCCCCTCACACAGTTGCCCCATCGACTCCTCTCGTCGCCCCAAATGCATACACTGCTCTGTACACGCAAGCGTCAAGGCAAGGTGGCGGCGACGTGGTGAGTGAGGGTGGTGTGGATGCGACATGCCCAGTGTGACATGCCAGGTCAGAGTGGCTGGAACCTGCGAGTAAAAATCCAGCGAAATCGTGGGATTGGCTGAAATGGATGAATTTAGATCGAATCGTTGGGCATTTTTGATTTTCGAGGAGTATGGATTGGTTAAAAAGAACGATGTTGCCCTGGCGTGTGGCGAAGGAACGTGACAGCGGCGGGCGCGTTGCCACACGCAGACGTTGATACGCCTTCCTCTGCAAATTCGACTTGCAATGACACGCTCGATGTGTTGGGGGGGGTGCGTGGCACAGATGATGCCGCCACAACGGCCAACATGCAGAGTACAGGCCCCCCATTACCTCGGTGCGCTCTTGCACCACTGTCCACTTCGCAGCCTCCAATTCGGTGGCGACGTAGGAACGACGATGGCTGCGACGAAAATCCCGTCGTACCAGTCGCGTGCGACATGGACGCGGTCTATTTACAGCGCCGGCGTTGTCTCACTCGATGGTTTCGTCGCTGGTAGTGGAGGGGGGGACATCTCCATGCACGGGGGGGGGCGTCCACCACGTACAACAGGAAGAGATTTACGCAGGGGCGACAGTCGACAACGTGCGCTGGTGGTGGAGCTCGCAATCGGAGGTCGGAACAACGTTGGTACTTCGAGCCTAGTTGACATCCAGCTGTCGCAGGCAGGTACGTAGTTATTTACAGACGGAGGCCAGAATCGTCGTGTCTCGCCATGCGTTGGGGCGGTGAAACGATTCCAGTGACTACCTGATGGCTGTGTGATGCACGCAGTAGCGCTGTTGAATTGTCTCGTTTGGAGCATTCCGACATGCACGCATGCTTGCAATATGGCTTTGCTGCCTTCCCATACGTAGGGAGCGTCCAGCACCGCGCCTAGTCGTTGCGTCTCTTCGACAAGTTGTCCACCACCGCAAATTGGCCTCGGTGATCGAGATGCTCCTCGGCGAACGTCGGCAGTTGCCCCAACACCGCCACCTCGCGTGGCCACCGCCGGCCTCGCGCACCAATTCAGAAATCGGCCATGGTCGGACCGCTGCACATGGTCGGGACCCATCGTGGCCTCTGCTTGCGAGGGGGGACGCACCCCATCTTGTGTGGACTAGCCATCTTGGTCCGTCGCACACGATTGCGACGCCGCAAGACTACACCCCAACGTGCGCGAAAGCGGCTTCGACACGGCAACGAAGTGCTTGTGATTTTGGCCCCATGTCGGGGGCCACACACCTAGTACATCAGGCCTCAAGAACTCTCCATGACGGCTACCGACCAAAGGCAGATCCAACCCCACCGGCCCAACAGACCTTAGTCGTGGTCCAAAGCCATCGTGCCGTGCACGGACAATGGAATCATTCGCCCATGGAGGGAGCATGGTCCATGCACGCACCCAATGTCCCGAACAAACCAAGAGTCGGCGGAGACGCACAACCAGAGCACGCAAGATCGAGAGTTACGTCGACGCTGCTATGAAGAGGCGACGACTGGTGGTTTGCAAGGCGCAGTTGTCGCGATATCAATGCGGCGAGGGGCGAGGCCGGGGTAAGAAGGCTGACGCCTTGTTGGCGGGAGTTGTCATGGGACTCGTAGCAATATTGGTACTTGACGGTGGTTCAAGCGTCCTATCGAACTCGAAATCCACGCCGACTGTGGCGCACTAGTTGTGTGGTGGTATGTTGCCGCTGCGTTCAGCCTTGGCTCATGACCGCTTTACAAAGTGTGGCCATGAGAATGGTAGCCGCTGGTCGACCACGAGCACCTCCCACGACCAAACGAGATCGTTGAGATCGTTGAGCGATTACCTTGACTGAATGATCTCTGCTGGTCTACGCCGAGGAAATGCCGGCGACCTGTCCGAGCCTTGCAAGCGGGCCATCGTACTCAAGCCAGAATGACGCGACCCAGCTCTCGTTTCCATGTCACAGCATTTGGACGCCGAGTCCACAAGCTCGGCATCTTGCCACATTGATGCACGCATCACCGACGCCTCGTAATGCCTTCCTCCGACCTTGCCCGGCCCCTGCGTGCATGGACTGAGACGGACCACGACATTTGGATGACGTTTTGATGGATGGGGCATCGGGGGAGATGACGCCGGCCAAATCTCTCGGTGAAACAAATCCACACCCGACATCGAGAATGGCCCATCCAACACACGAGCACTCGGCATGCCATACCATGGTATCATGCGTCAACCGTGCGCTGCTTCGTTTCACAGCGTTCATTTGCCATTGGCACGATGTTACGTGTGCGATGTGGGACGCGCTTCACCCACCGACCTTCGATTCTTGTGCCAGCCCACCTCGTCGTGTCCCTACGACCTTGGCAAACTGGCGGGCCGCCGCCTGCGCACGGCTCCGACGTCCCCAATTGGATTGCGAGCAAATCAGGAGCAGTGCGAGCCGAGAACGATCTCGTCAGAATGGGCGACACCCGTCCGAGCCCTCCCCCGTGCAAGTCGATCGACAATGCCGAGTCTACTGCCGCGGTCTCCAGCCCATTGGGTCCGCGTTATATCGAAGGCGAGGACGGGTGTAGTCGTCAGCCATGCATGCGACGTCATCTGCGTCCACCAACCATAGACGTCGTTGGCATATTCCCACAAGAGACAAGGGGGGCAGGCCCACCACTTCAAAAACGAGAGTTTGCTAGCAAATAATGGTGTCTATGTCGCGCATAAAGCGCACGTTCGTGTCACGACGCGTGGCTGGGTGGAGTTTGCATGAAATGATGGCGCAACGCGCGAAGGTGTTGACGAAACGTGTCGCCGACCTGGGCTTCGGCTTGTGTTTGCACGTGCGCAATCAAGTCTTCTCTGCGCCGGTGGTCGTGGTGATCGACACCAAACAGTTGGCCGATGTGTTCGAGCGAGATCACCCCGTCTGTCGTGAATGGGGTGTAGTGCAGCATCGAGCCACGCACGGTCGTGATGCTGTCGGCCACACGCTCGGCGACCGACCTGCCCGCGCGAGTCAGGTACCCACGGCATCGAGCATTCGAGACGTACCAGCCAAATCCGTGCGACCGAATCTCGCCAGGACCAAGGGGAAACCTCTCGTCGTCGGCGACCATGGCGCTTGTCATGACTGCTCTTGTCCCGTCGGGATTTCGAAACACGTTTGTCACTCGGCGCATCGACACGCCATTGCGCGCATTGACACCGTACGAATATCGCAATGTGTCGCCCACCGACTCGACCGTCTACGAGAGCAGCACGATGAAATTGGCGGCGGCGGCAACAACAGGTCGACGCGGGGGGGGGGTACCTGCAACGCGACCATGTCCGGCATGACAAACGTGGTGCGGCCCCCCATGGCCTCCAACGTGCCGACCACGGTCTCAAACGGAACAAACACAATATCAAATTGAAAATGGAATTCAATCGCGACGATCGTGACGGGGGCGTCGACGCCGTCGTTTGTGCGCACGGCCAAGTGATACGCATCGCCCGCCCCACGCAGTGGATGATGGGGCACAGCCGAGTGCGACGTGTGGTATAGTTTTTCACTGAGCCATTGCAGCCCCACGCGGCGCGCGTCCGGGTCGGCACGTAGCGACGAATGAATCCATGCCGTGTGGGACGTCAAGCCCTACGAACACGGCACGTGACAACATCGAAGGAAACGCGGTGTCCACAAAAGTACACACTGGCGTGGGGGGTTGCGACGCGACCCAGTCCCGTAAGCAGCACGCGAGCTTGTACTGGGCATCGACGTCGCCGCGCAGGTGCGACGTGCGCTTGGCCAGGACTTCTGCCATGCGGGGGTCCATGGTTTGCCTACCGGGGACCCGGCGCACTTGTCGTGACGCGGTTTGCCGCTGCAACTCCTTGAGTGTCTCTTCGAGACACTTCCACTCGGCCTCGAGGCGCTGGAACTCCTCCTTCTTTTGTGAGCGGTACTTGCGCATGCGTAACGACGCTGTCTGGCGGCGGATGTCGCCATGGTTACTGTGATCGTCGTCGTCAGCCATGACGTTGTCGATGCGTACGACGGATGCGTCGCAGCTTGAACCAGCGAACGTGGAGTGTCGGGGGCTGGGTTGCGTTCGTCGAGTCGGCAGGCACAGCCGCACAGCGTCGCCGTTATTGTTGCCTCGATCGATGACGGGGGAGATCGCAATTTCTCACCACCGCCTTCTTCGATGCAGTTTCGTGTCCAAACGGCCGTTTCGCACGATTAGTTCACATGCGCCCCAACGTCACCGGCGTCGCCGACGACCGCGTTCTTGTCGTGGGGAGAGAGAGGGATGAACCGTGCGGACGGCCCGGCCCCGTCGACCGCAGTGTTATCGTGGTGAATCGTGCCGACGACCACCGCAGTCCACCTCTCGTATACCGCCGACATTGCGTTCGGGCAAGTGGTGGATTGTACGATGAGGCATTCGGTAGAATCGGAGCGCTTTTAATTGGTAGAAATTGCCAAATTCACGTGATTGGATTGGCGCATATCCCAAATGCAAGCGCGCGTCATCGTTCCATACAAAATTGGAGAGATTTCGATGCGACATGCCAGGCTGAGACACACATGCGTACACAAGTTCTCACCGTTCCGTGGAGCCGTCGGCTGAACGGATGCATCCGATTGGATAAAAGGAATTGTCGGAACCAATCAAAATGCTGCCATGCCCTCCCCCACGAATGGGACATGTCATTCCCGACAAGCTCTCACGCACGGCATTCACGACTTGGTTGTACCTAAACTGACTGCACGATGTCGAAGTCTGCTGGTCGACGGATCAAGTCGCCATCGCTCAATCCGTCAACAATCGTGGGTTTCGTCGTATTCGTGTCGCTTGGATATCAACCGCTCTCGTATACATCTGTTCTTCAAGTTGGTGAGGTTATTGAGCTGTCATCGAACACCTCACCAACTTGAAGCGCTGTCCGATAAACTGCTTGCGATAACGCAGCCATGTTCATCTTGAGCAGGGGACCGCCATGCCGCGAATCGAGCGGGATCGACAATAGCCGGCCACCCACGCCAGGGCCATGAACCTCCTGCACCAACCCACCGACGGCACCCCGCCACCCTGACCACGGTGGTTGGCACCATCGACTGGGCGATGCGATGGGAATGGTGGAGTGACACGTCACCAAAGTGCGAGTTTTCGCCAATCAAAATCCCCACCAATGGCGGAATCGATTTGCATGGCTTCTGCCACGTCGTCGCTGTGCGTGCGGGTGGCGTCACCTCGGTGGCGGGCAGACCACTACTGAGCAGACTTATTCAAGGCAGGCAGGTCGGTCAAGCACGGTGCGCCAGCAAGGACTCTGTATCTGGCACGCACGTCGGCAAACGTGCAGCTGGAATGCTATCCGCCAGCGGATGACACAGTCGAAATGGAACATCACTTCTCGCGGAATCGAGCAGAATGGACGTACGTCCTGTAGGAACTGCAGCCGC